GAAAGAGGAACACCTGGTCAGGTACCATGGTGGGGTAAGCAGAGAAAACAGACAGTCAAAACAGAGGGTTTATTTCATTTCTAAGTATTTCAACTTGCCTTTAAATCAGGAGTCAACAACCTTGTTCCAAAAAGGATCAAATAGTAAATATTTTAGGCTTTACAGGTCTTTAACATCTCTGTGGTAACTACTCAACTCTGCTGCTGTAGCAAAAAGGCAGCCATAGACAATATGTAAATAAATGGGTGTGGTTATGTTCCAATAAAACTTTATTTACAGAAACATGAGGAGGCCAGGATTTAACCTGTGAGCAGTACTTTGCTGGCTCTTGCTTTAAATTTGTAGTTGTCAGAGCCAGAATAACTTGTCACCTACATAGCCAGTAATTTAAAAATTAATCTTGCCTTGGTTTCTATTCAGCATTCAACCTCTGTGTTTTGACTATCTGCTGTGGATACAGATATTGTGCAGGGCGGGAAGATAAGAGAGCCTAATATTCTTTTCCCCGAACAGATAATCAGTTTTTTGTGACATCAAATACTAAATACAACAATAAAGTGACTTGTTTAATATACTATTTCTGTGTAAGAGGTGAGGAATCGAAAACTAGACTATAAAAATAGACATTTTAACATAGTTTAGACTCCAACTGATATTATTGTTAACCTGACTTGGAACCCTGGTGGCGACTATTCCTTGCCCTTTGATCAATTTACCATGTGACCTTTTACAAGTTAGTTAATCTTCCTGGGCCTCAGTTCCCCATAAGTAACTTCAGTAGCAGTATTAACCTACTTTAGAAAATTGGGAAATCAGACTCTGATTAAAGACTTTACTTCTTCCTATACCCTTAGAGAGCAGGTTAGTTCTGGCCCAGCTCTGGCCTGTTTATGGGCCAGAAATAGACCTGGGCCTCCGTGAATCTGCCATAGAACTAACTCAGTCTCTAAATTTGAGATAGTCCAAACTTGGATAGGCCGGCAGTTAGATTGTCTGAGGAAAGGGAGAGGGTAATGAGATGTATTGGAAAGGCTGGGATTAAGAGGACCTGGGTTCTAAGACATCTCCTTTGAGCTCAAAAATGTCTTTAGGTGTCATTCTACTCATGTTTTAAACATAGAGGTTAAATTAGTTCACATCTAAGGTCTTAACAACTTTAGGTTTATTTCAGTGGTGCTGTCACCTCAGAGCAAAGGTTCTCAAAGTGTGGTCTGTAGACCCTAGGAAGTCCCCAAGATCTTTGTAGAGGATCCACAAGGTCAAAACTAAGCTCACAGTAACACTAAAACTTTTTTCTTTTTTTCACTGACATTTATTGACATTTGCACTGATCAAAGTAATAGTAGCTAATACTGCTGGCCTCTTAGCATAAGTTCAAGACAGTGGTCAGCAAACTTGTTGGTACCAGACTGTACTGGTACTTGTGCTGTTCTCCAGCATGTACTCACAGTGGCTTTGGTTTTTGTTTTGTTAAAGCTAGTTTCAATTAAGACTGTTAATTATGAGGCGGTAAAATTTATTATCTTCTGACCTTTGAGAATACATCTTTTTAATAATCTCTATGACATAATGGGAAGTACATATAAAGCACTCTGCTGGGTGCCAAGGCATGAAGCACAGTGGCTGTCTCGGTTTGGAAAAGTACTTTTGTCAGTGTTTGGGTTACAAGCTGAACTGGCCACTTTTTTCATGGAGTATCATTTTTGCTTGAAAGAATGACAGATAGATTATGGTTTTTCAGATCATTTCAGTATTTGATAGTTATTTTCTCAAAAATGAGCAAAGAGAGTCTGTCTGGATTAAAACAACTCAAGCAAACAACTGGCAGTATTTGTTGCTAATGATAAAGTTAGAGCTTTCAAGATAAAGTTAGAGCTTTCAAGAGAAAATTAGAGTTGTGGAAAACTTGTACCCACTCTCAAGAGTTTGATAGCTTCTCAATACTTAAATATTTTTCTGATGAAATTGAGGGGATGACAATTGGGATTTTTTAAAAAAAATATCCTTTAATGAAATGTATGAACATTTGGAAAATCTGCATAACTCAGGGAACCAAAATTTTCCAGTGTGTGAACTTTCTAAATCACGCATGAGTAAAAGATCCATTCATAGTGTAAGGTAGAACAATGTACTTTAACAGGAAAGTTTATTATTAGGTTTCAGATTCCACATTGCAGGAAACTCCATTTGTCAAGTTTTGGTATAGTAGCAAAGAAGATGATCCACAATTATCTGAAAAAGCTGTTAAAATATTCCTTCCTTGTCCAACTGCATGCCCACATGAGGACAGATTTTTGTCATATATGTCAACAAAAAACAATGTATCAAAACAGATTAAATGTAGAAGCAGAAGTGAAAGTCTGGCTGCCTTTTATTAATCCAGACATTAAAAAGAGTTACAAAAATGTAAAACAGTGCATTTTTTAAAATTTGGAAAAATATTTTTCATCAAAATGTTATTTATTTTATGTAATGGGTTTATTACTATTATTTTTAAATGAGTTAATGCATACATATTTTTAAATTTTTTTAGATTTAATTTCTAATATGGCAAACATTGATAGATATAACTCATGTCAAAGTTTTGGGGTTCTCTTTTAAGATTATGAATTGGTCCTGAGACCAGAAACTTTGAGAATCTCTGCCCTAAATCATTTTGCTTGGAAAGAGAATTGTTAGAATTAATAATAAAGCTCTTTTCAAATTTAGAACTCTTTATCAAGCATGAAATGGCTGAATTATTTTTTTCTCGTGAAATACAATGGCAGGATACAGGGCATATCTCTGAATGTCCCAAAACTTCAGGACCCCTTCCTTATCCCTTCTGCTAAGGGACACGTGGAGAAAGTAAGTCCAGCCTTGGTAGCATGGGCCCTTGTGGCTGCCTTAAAGGATCTCCACTGACTTCCGGGCAGGCAGGGGCCAGCAATGTAAATAGTCTCTCTTCACGAACTGGGAGACAGGTAGCAAGGTGTGGGCTCAGTGTACAGGCTTTACAGTTAGCCCCAAATTTGCTTTCTCTCACTAGCTGCTACCTAATTGCTTGACCTATCAGGTCCCTCGGACATGAAATTGGAATAATAATACCTTCTTCTTGGGGGTAGTTGTGAGGTTACAGAAAACATATATAAATTTATGAATTTTGAAACCCAGAACCTGGCACCTAGTTTTATTGCTTAGTTAATGATAGCTGCTGTTAATAATTATTCTCTTTTTGACTCTTTGGTGACTTTTGAGGCTGAATTTTTTGTCATTTCAGCAAAGCTGGCTTCACATGTTTTTATGCTGTATAACTTTTCCCCCTTTTTTGCAACAGTGCCAGCAGATGTAGCATCACCTGAAAGTGGCAGTAAGTTTAGATGCATTAAATTGCTTTAGCTCTGGGTATGGTGTTGAGCGTTTGCTTTGTCCCATGATATGGGACTTAGGGTAGCTGCTGGGGTTTAGTTGGCTTTAGATCTAAGGATGCTTCGGGCTGGGTTTCTTTTCATTGCTTGGGCTCTTATATTTGACTCTTGTCAAATGGATATCTTTTTTGTGAAACATTTTACCAAGGTACTATTTTGTAAGATAAGATCTTCAGACTCACAAGTACCTTGCAGCTTCCATAAACTTCTGTGGTGTGATCCTTTTCTGCTAATGCCAAGTGGAAGTGCATGAAACCCTCTGTTCTAAAATTGGAGTTGAAAGCAACTTAACTATATGCAGTAAAGACAACTGGATATTTTAGATATCCAACTTCTATTCTTTTAGGAATTTTTAAAAATTCACGTAGAAGAGCAGTATGGAGAAGCATTTTTTTGTTGTAGTTATTTGTATAAGTATCCATGTGTTTGGAACTGTGAATGTTGATTTCTTTTCCACAGGCTGCAACAGGTTTGAAGTGACACTAGAGAAATCCAATAAGAACTTCTCCAAAAAGATTCAGCAGGTAGGCAGTGATGGCAGTGGCCACAGGAATATTTGACTTCCATGAGACCCTGTCAAAGCTAGAACTTCGGTAACATTTATTAACTCTTTGAGTCCTCTGCTCTGTGTCCTCTCATTTATGCAGGGATCTCTGTCAATCCATCGTGTACCTGAGATCCTCTTTCACAAGCAGAAATTACAATTGCACATAAATCGAAATCAGATCCCTGTCATTGGTATAGGTTCTTTGGTTCCTTTCAGTACTGTAGTTAAATGAATATTTGCTAAACTTTGTCAGAAATGTTTAATTGACTCTAATAATTTGCTGTTTTCCAGATCCATGTGGTTTCCCAGTTTAAGATTTTGGTCAGCTTGTTAGGTAAGAAAAGGGGTTACGTTTGTATTTCATGTGTCAAAAAACAAAAACTATGACAATGCACCCTTTCGTGGTTAATTTAATAGTTATTACTTAACAGTGGAACTGACATGTTCTAAACCAGACATAGCAAGATACAGGTAATAAAGGCCACAGCAGCCCTCAGAAAATTGAGCCCTGTTCTCCAAGGAGTGTCACTTCATTTATTCAGTAATGGAGCAAATATTTATTGAGCCCTTCTGTAGGCATCGGGGATATCAGGTTGAAAGAGACATGGTTTCTATCTTTGAAATTTATGTTATGATTGTGAAGACTGAAATGACAGGAAATAATCATGACTCAGTGTGATAAGGTACAATGGAAATTTATAAAAAGTGTTGTAGGAAGGACGTTTTCTAGTGCATGATTAGGATTTCGACAGAAATAGAGTTGCAGGCAGAGCATTATAGGCAGAGGGAGCAGCTTAAGCAAAGGTCCTGAGATCTCGCCAGACTTAGGATATGTGATAGAAAGTGGTGAGAGGAAGGTGAGAGACAGATCAAGGCCAGACTGTTCAGTGCCTTGTGTGAAAAGCCACAATGTTGTGGAAGCCAGCCAGTGAGGCCGGCTTGACAAGCCGAGAACGAGAAACTTGCCTCACACTCTAGGGCCCAAATGGTAGAATCATTTGAAACTTCATTTCTAAGTCGAGAGGAGAACATTTACGGTAACTAAATCTTCATGACTCAAGTTAAATAGGAGGCCCAAGTGAAATTATTTTGCTTGCTTTGCTAGAAAAAAAATCCTTGCCGTGGCTTTGTACAAAATCCACAGGGGATTTTCTTTCTCTTATTGGAGCCTCCTAACGTAAGTAGCTTTGAAAACCATTTCTCATACAAATATTGCATCACAAATTTCCAAACTTGAGAAAGATAGCGTATAAGAGTACTTTGGAAGAGCTGTTTTATTCAAGCCAGCCCAAATCTAAAGGAACAAAATATCCAAGTTCAGAAGATTGAGTGACTTCTTAAATGTTTCGTCATATTATTCCAGTAATAGGCCAGAATAAACCATTGTTAGTGAAACTAAAGGTACATCGTCAACCAGCATTTGCCATTTGGTTCTTCTGGTTGTTATTGTTATTAGTTTTGTCTTGAAGGTGTCTATACTAGAGAATTGTAATAATTTATCATTTTACATTCTTCTAAACAGAAAATAATATTTATGTCCATGACTTATTGACATTTCAACAAATTACTACGGTTTCAAAGGCAAAGGGAGCATCGCTGTTCACATGTGACCTCCAGGTGAGAGTAGGGAAAATGAAATTTGACTTTGTGCTTTAGAAAATACAGGGTTTCCTACATCATTCCTACCATTAAATGGAAAGAATAACATTGATATCCAAACCCAGCAGAGACTCCAAAGAGAATGTTTGATTTTGGATTGTTATTAGAGAAATTTTCCCCTTAGTATATGGTCTGAGGTTGAAAGATTTGCATTCCCTGTATGTATGCTAATTGGAGCACCAGACTTCTATGTGGCAGGAGGCAACTGACTAAGGATAAAAACACTTATCATGGACAAACTGTTAGTGGGAAATCAAACCTGTAATAGTACCATGAACATAACTATAAGAATTAAATTGACTTTTGTTCTAATCATCATTGTGGTCTTTATTTAATAAAGACATTTCTCTTTATTTTTGCCACTTCATAACCTTACATTCTTCAAAATCTGCCTTACTCCCTTTCTAGCATTTATGGTCTACATAGATACTGCGTTGTTTTGTGTATAGACATATTCTTTTCCTGATTCCTTTAAAGGGTTGAAAGTGGCCACTGATAAATGCTGATCCCCGACCCAGCATGTATTGACAGCCATGAGTGAGAAACATTTAAGAAAAAAAGGAAGTGGTTATGTAGGTGAAATCCTGCCCCAAGATTTTCTTCTCTGAATTATGAATGTCCATGAGATTTGCTAGCACAGGCACCTTTGGCCAGAATCCCATGGGGATGAAGTGCTCCTCTGTCTATTGTTTCTGGGTACAGTTTTCTCCAGCTCAGCTTGTCTGGCAGTGTAACTTCGTATTACAAGGGATTCTCAGATTAGTAGCCATTTCAAGGTAGAAAAGTCTCTAAAATAGATGTCATTCAGTTATGAAGTCATTGTGTACATAGCCTCATTTGCTCTGGGTGTGTCTTTCCAGCACACAGAGACTGGTGAGGAGGTGTTGCGGATGTGTGTGGCTGTGAAAAAGAAGCTGCAGCTCTATTTCTGGAAGGACAGGGAATTTCATGAATTGCAGGTAAAGTCCACCGGTCCATAGGTTAGGTGGGAGGTACTGCTCTAGTTGACCCACAGCTTGAAAGATTTCTAGTTCAGCTGTAGTGAAGGTTAGGACCCCAGTCTTGGAATTTTCTTCAGATCAGTCTTCTGTTATAAGCACATGAGTGCTTCATGCCCACTGATGAAAGTCTCATGGTCTTCAGAGGCAGGGGTAATACAGTTCTATGATGTCTATACAAATTGGTTTATTTCAAAGTGGATTTTTGCCTTTTCCAAATGCACCTTGTCCAGTACGTGTGTGAGCTACACAGTAAGTCCTTACTTAATGTTGATAGGTTCTGTGACTTTAGTTGAAATGACATACCATGAAACCACTTTTACTATAGGCTAATTGATATAAACAAGAGTTAAATTCCTATGGTATCTCATCAATATTATTAATAAAACTATATTAAACGAAATGACATTATTTGAGGACCTGCTGTTTTTTTAATATGGGCAGTTTTCTAGTTTTGTGCTTATGGAATTGAATTCAGATGAGGATGAGGGCGATTTTGCAGAATGGGAGTGGAATAACAGAAAGGTCATGATTTTTTTTTTCTTTTAAGTTGAACTCTTGCTCTCTTTCTTCAGGGGGACTTTAATGTACCAGATGTTCCCAAATCCATGGCATGGTGTGAAAATTCTATCTGTGTGGGTTTCAAGAGAGACTACTACCTAATAAGGGTAAAACTTATTTTTTGCAAATATCATCAGTTTGCCTTGGAGAAGATGATTATGAGGTTACCTGGGGGAGGTGATTATATGCTTCTGAACTATAGGTCAAGAAATTGCCTTAAGTAGAGTTTTTGGCATAACAGGGTTTATGTGTGTGTATCTCATGATATTTCTGTACACAAGGTTTGTGTTTGTTTGATTGAGCTCTTAGCATCTTCCACAAATAAGATATCTGTGTATCTTAAGCCAGGCAAAGTCAACTCTCAGTTTTCTACATGATGACTTCTCTACATCCTGTATCTAATTATTGGAACAGACAGTTTGGGCCGCTTGCTTCTGTTCAGCAGCATTATAGTGGACTGCTGTCTTCAGGCTTCAGTGCTCAGGAATTATAAACTAATTTTAGTATTAACTTAAGTATTTTTAAGACTTTGAGGTTTCTGCCTCCCAATGTTTTTTAAAAAAAATATTTTCACTTCTTTTTTTAAACTTCAAAAGCCACATGTGTTTATCGTAGAAAATAAGAATATAAAAAAAATAAAAGGTGTAAATCATCCATAATCCCCCAACTCAGAAATAATCACTATTAACCTTTTGGTATATGGGATTCCACCCTATTTACAGAAATACCATGAGATACACACACACAGAGATTCATACACATATATAAAAATAATGTGTATTATATATGTTATAATATATATTTATATATAATAACCTGCTTTTTCTCTTAACCTAAGCAATAAATACCCAGGACATTGGTTTTTTTCCTCCAGTATGCACACGCTATGTAGAAAAAGATTGATATTTCATAGGGTAATCTAAATTTCTTAGCTTCATAATCCAGATTTGGCAATCGTAGGCACCTTTCTCCTCATCCCCTACTGTGTTAGCTCTTCATTATTTATCTAGTTAATATATTTGTTCCATATTTATATTATTAGAATATCCTAATTTTATCAGCATCAGAGTTGTAAACTTGTAAAGGAGTCACTATTGTGCAGTTGACTGAAAAGCAACTAGGCATATAGGTGCTGAGAGAAGGCTGTGAGGGGTGGGGACTGAACCAAAAGTTGCAGTAAGGGTCTCATTCCTCTGACAACCTTGAATGCTTCCATCGCCTTCTTGAGGGTAGAGTCTGAGGGTGGATATCTTGTTCTAGGAACAGGATATTCAAAAGTTATTTATTTATAAACAGTAAAACTCATTCTTTTTGATCTACAGTTCTGAATTTTGACAGATGCCTAGAGATCTGTAACCACCTCCACAATCAAGATTCAGAACAGTTCCATCACCCAAAAAAATTCTTTCATGCTGTCCCTTTGAAGTCAACACCTTCTCCTATACCCCAAACTCTAGTAACTACTCTGTTCTTTTTCTCATAGTTTTGCTTTTGCCAGAACGTCATACAAATGGAATTATATAGTATGCAGCCTTTTGAGTTTGGCTTCTTTCACTTAGCATAATGCATTTGACATCCATCCATGTTGTTGTGTGTGTCAATATATTCTTTTTTATAGCCGAGTAGTATTCCATGGTATGAGTGTATTACAGTTTGCTCATTCATTCATCAGTTGAAAGACAAATTTTTAACCATTATGATAAAGCTGCTATAAACATTTGCATATAGGTTTTTATACACTGCAAATAAGTTTTTGTTTCTCTTGGGCAGATGTCTAGTAATGAGATTGCTGAGTTATATGATAAGTATATATTTAACTTTATAAGAAGCTAACAAACAAAATGGCTGTATGAGAGTTCACTGGCATTGTATGAGAGTTCCATTTGCTCTTCATCCTGACCAGCACTTGACCAGCACTTGACATTGTTAGTTGCCAGGTTCAATGCTTGTCTCTGTGTTAGAGAAAAAGAAAACTGATTCTATGTTGTGATGACAAAATTTGTGTTAACAAACTCTGTTTGTTATCTGTTTCTTAAGCCAAGCAAGGAATATTGGCTTCTGTAGGTTTTGGGTTTTATCTGGATTTTTCTAGGCCATATTCATGCCTCTGGCCAAAGAATGCTGGATGACTCACTTTGTGTCTTCCTGTAGGTGGACGGAAAGGGGTCCATCAAAGAGCTCTTTCCAACAGGAAAACAACTGGAGCCCTTAGTTGCACCTCTGGCAGATGGAAAAGTGGCCGTGGGTCAGGATGATCTCACCGTGGTGCTCAATGAAGAGGGGATCTGCACACAGAAATGTGCCCTGAACTGGACAGACATACCAGTGGCCATGGGTGAGACCAACAGCAGCTGCTGTTGCCCACTTGAGGCTGGGGCCATGTGCCACCTTTGCAGAATGGAATCCTATTCATAAGCTTTAGCAGACTATGGTTTAGTGTCATTCACTCTCAGTTCCCCTTCTTATAAGAAGACGACTGTTTTAAGGTCATTAAAAACGGAATATTCTGATTTTTTTAGGAAGCTGAGTTTTGCCCCAGACGGGGGAAAATGAAAACAGAATTGTACATTTTAGGAAGGGATTGTCTATGGCTATTTTTACTTCTTAGTTCCTTTTTAATGGTTTTATTGTGTCCTCTGCCAAATAATTTGTGAAAATTCCTTATTTATTCCTATAATACATATAACTCAATATCAAAGGGATTTTGATGTGATTATTGCTGCTGTTGTTTTTGTAGCTTAAAGGCACAGACGGCATTTAAGTGTCAGTCTCTGGCCTACACATTAGGTGTTTCTGTCCGACACCTGCCTCAGGCTCCCAGTGCTCTGCAGTATTGCCTGGAAGCATATTTCTTTTGGAAGAATGAGCATTTTAATAATAGTTATTGTGTGGAGTGGGGCATAAGGCATGCTGTCTTTAAGGACTATAGCTCTGAAGACAAAATTACATTTTGGATAAAGAGATAAAACAAGGCACTACTTAAGTTATTAAGTTGGATGAATTGAGATTCAGTAGTTCAGAAAGGGGAAATTCATTGTTCATTAGTCAGGAAGACGTTTTGTTACATCAGCAAGATTAGACTTAGATCAGGCAGGGGGTTTAGGATCTGGCTTGAAGAAAAATTCCTTTTCATTCTAGGCAGAAAGAATCCTTTGAAAAATGAGTAGAAATGCAAAATACATGCTGCTTTGTGAGAGGGCGTGACAGACTGAGCTGGCTAAAACAGGTGGGCCGAATTATGGAAGAATAAGGAAACCTATGAGAAGGTCGGAGAGGCCAGTAGATTCCTCAACATTTTGATAAAAGCATTATGTTCTAGGGTGGTTATTCTATGGTGGTTAGAGAGTAATAGACAGAAAGGAAGATAAATCATAAGGATAGTATTTTATAAGGCCCAAGGTTATGTATGTTAACAAGTTTGAGGGGCTGAGAGCTTCATGAGAAGAAGCTTCATGATGTTCCAGGGCCTTATTCTCCTTAAAGAAGGACCTTGGTAGATTGGATAAAGATATGTGTAATATTGCTTGAAGTATGTTTCTGATTTCCCAGTGTGAGAGTTCCTGTTTTAAAAGCTTTGTTAGTGCCCAGTGCCTTCAGCAGTATTTCTCAAAAACATTTCTGTGCCGTAACATATTCAAGGAAAGAACATTCTTTCTAGGTAGGGTGAGAGAATCACCATCTGACAGGAGGAATACGAAACTTAGGATGGTGTGTATTTTAAATTTCATTTATATTTCGCTCTCATCTTTGCTACTTCACCCAGGCTCCAGTCATTTCGGACTCCCTCCCACTGTGCCATTGTCTGCACTGTTGCCGTTTCCTTTCTTCTCGCCCAACAGCGTCTTGCCCATGTGACAAGGCTTCTTTCAGTGGCACTTCCTCTATAAAGTCTTCTCTGACCTGCAGGCACATTCAATCACTTCCCTCTTTATGCTCCCAGAGCCCTTTCAGGTTTCTCTGTCATGGCATCCACACCATCCCCTCTGGATGCAGCGAGTTGTCTGTCTCTTCTGCTCATGTTGGAACTCCGTGAGCTCTGGGCTCATGTCTTGATACACGTCAAGTAGTGCCTGCAGCATGGCCATTCATTCATTCACTCATTCATTTATTTATTTTTGAAACATGGCCTTTTAGTAAATGCTTGGCGAATAGATGGATCACTGTTGTTGTCAGCCAGTTATTACATGCCTGCTGCACACCAGCAACTCTGCAAAGTGTTGAAGATACAAAGAGATCCAGACCATCTCTGTTGTTTTTGAGAAACAGCACTGAAGAGTTGAGGAGACTGAACAAATGATAAGATATGACCATCAAAAGGGTTTCTATTATAGATTATCTTTTTTTAAAAATTAGACCTTATTAAGTTAAAAAGGACAGAAATATTACATATTTATACCAACTAACACTAGAGAAGATTGTACTAACTTTTAAAAATGAGGTAGCATTAAAAGAAAAAAAATCCAATACAAATCAACATACTTTTTTATTTTTTCATAAGATGAAAAATAACATAATAGCAACAATAGCATTCAAATTGATGGAAATATTACTTAGTTTTTCTCATTTCTGAGTTCCCTTCGGGCTTTGAAATTCTATTATACTATTATTTAAAGTATAAATTTTAAATATAAAA